ACATAAACACACATACACAAACACACACACACACGCACACACACAAACACACACACACTCACACTTGGAATCTAATGAAGGAATGAGCTGCCAATAAGTGACAAGAAACTCTAAGGCTCAACTAGCCGCTAATCCTACCTACAATTAGCTTTTACGTTTTTAAATATCTGTTAGAGCTGATTAACCTCACTCGCTTTTCTCTAGAATATGTTTTCCCTCTTAAGTTTATTTGATGAACAAGAGTTCTGAACCACCCCCCTCCCCCTGTGGCTCTACAAATAAATAAAAGGTGAGGTGTCAAAGGGATCATTGCACTTGAGAGAATACACAAACACGTTTTGATAGTTACAAGGCTTATTTCTAATCATATAATACAGGATGTGTGTATTTATTATGTTTATAAGCATGTTCGACGTGTGGGACCATTCTCTGTTTTTGAAAAATATGTATTCAATTTGCCGGGTCTGTATTATCAGAGCAGAATATTATGTCAGCTTTTTCATTGTATGTGCATCAAACTCGAACATTTAAACCCCTTAAGTGAAAAAGGGGGGAAGAGTGCGTCTGGGGAAGGGGGGATTCGTAATAAATAGACTACAATGTAAAATACAACCTTCCAGATAAACTAAGTAAACTATCAACACCACTTACTATCCCCCCCCCTCTCCACACACACACAGACACTCACACACACGTGCACCTTTTTTTGTCCCGAACCCCTCTACTATACTCAATCTTTAACTTTACAAAACATGTTTCTTGACTTATTTCTTTTCTGCCCCTTAGAAATGAAAAAAAATTATCAAAAGCAAATTCCCAGACTCTTCTCATGCCTTCACGATTCAATTTTCTCTCTCCCTAAAACCTCATATTCCAGAAAACCCAATTAACCTCTTTTTGTACACATGCTTTTAAATGTGCTCTTTAATCGTCCTACTTATTACAATAACTACGCACTGACTCGCGTTATGGTAACCATTCCACCACCTTCCCACAGTTGCCACAGTTATTTCATTAGCATAAGGGCTCGGATAGTGGCCACAGTTACCCAGCATTGTTTCGAAAGTAGACCGCTGTGGCTGCAAATCCCCAGAAACTATGGTTACTAGACTGGGCTATGGATCCCCAGTTCATTTGGCACGAACTTTTCTTAGTCGCCGATCACCCTCCTCCTCCTA